TGCCAAAAAAAAAAATAAACAAATTTTTTTTTAAATTTTTTTTTTTTTTTTTTTAGATTAAACTTAGAAATTTTCTAGAAAACTCAGAAATTTCTGAGTTGCAGAGGTTAAAAATTTGCTTTACAAAACTCGGAAATTTTGAGATTAATCTCCAAAAATTCTACAAAATCCAACAGTCTAAAAAATTTACCAGAAAAAACTCTCAATTTTATTTTGTTACTCTCAAAAAACATAGAGAAAAAAAACTTGGAAATTTCTTCGTTTGAGAAGTAAAAAACAAATGCCAGAATTTTCGATTAATCTCATAGGTTTTATGTTTTCTAGAAAAAAATCTGCAATTTCTGAGTTTCAAAACTTGAAAATTTGCCAGAAAAAAAATCTAAACTTTAGAGTAAGAAAATTTTGAGAATATTATCAATTCCTGCAATGTGTAGCTAAATTGGAGCTATAAATTTTGAAATTGAAAAAGAATATTTTGAAACCAAAAAATGTTTTAAAGAGAAGAGTTTTTAAACTGGAAAAAAGATTCAAAACTAAAAATAATTGAAACTTATAAAAGTTCAAAACTACCATTCAGATTTAAAGTTTTTTTTTCAGCTTTTTTTTTTTTTTTTAACAAACTTTGTGGCCCCAATTTAGCTTCATACAGCTCATCTCCCATCCCTTGAAATGACACCCAGGCAGCCTCATGTTGTGTTATTTACCTTTATTAGAGTGTAACGGCAGTAACACACACACACGATGCAACACTGACACACAAGCTCAGGTCACACAACGCAGCACAGCAGCTTGTTTGTGGAAACGTATGGAAGCCATTTTGTCAGTCCCTGCAGGCTGTGATCAATAACACTGTGCAGGAAGGAGGCTGCAGTGGGACCTTCCTTCTCTCGGTTTCAGGGTTTTCTCAGTACTCTGGCGTCTCAGAGTGGAAAAGAGCATAAATAAAGAGCAGGCTCCCTCTGACCGAGGGAGAAGAGCTCCTCGTGTCGTCACTTCCTCCTCTGCCTCAAGATAAGATACTGGGACAGTCGCAGCAAATGTTCAACAAATGTTCTGCCTGCTGTTTTTTGTCTGTTTTTTATTTCCAGGTGATTTCTGGGAAACAGGAAGTCGCTGCGGCGGAGGGTCAGGGCAGCAGGACGTAGTTCTCAGCGACTTCCAGAAGATAAAGGTTGGAGAGTCCGAGCTGGTCCTCGACCTGACGCGTCTCCAGCACCACCATCCTGCAGGACAAAACAAAAGATTTAACTAACTAAAACTAATTAACACGCCTCATTCCGCAAAATTCAAACACTTTCCAAGGTACGTTTTCAAACTCTGCAGATAAAAACAACAAAAATGATCTAAAAAAACACAGTTTTAACTCACTATCATATGATATCATTTATTATTAACAGTCTTGTGAAAGTATTCTGGGTAAATTAAAATATAACAATATATATACATATATATTCTGAAATGCCAATTTCAATAATGTTGCTAACCATGTGGAATGGAAGACAACCTTTATTTCAAGAACAAAGAAACAAAATACAGAAAAAGTCACAAAAAAACAAAGAAAAAAGAGTTCTTGCTAAATTTTCTGGCATTTAGCAAATAGAAATAATTTTTGTGATCCTAATTGTCCTAAAATAAGAAAAATTTACTCTGATTTAACTTCAGACGGTGAGAAAAAAGTCTCTTTATTAGGTGGATGAAAATATCTGGTTTGAACCGAGTAATTTTATCCAAATTTAGGCTTTTAATCAAACATTAGATCTGCACTTTATTACAAAACTGAGCAGTTTGAATATCAGGAACTTTCAAGGACTTTATACAGAAATCAAAAACTTTCCAAACCCCAAAAGCACAATTTTCAAGGATTCAAGCACTAATATGAACGCTGAACTTAAAATATGAAGACACCCTAAAATATCTTGTGTTTCTTTTTCGTCAATAAATATTTAATATCAAATGAGAACAATACTGAAAAAAATAATTAAAGAAACAGATGAAATGCTCTTTGAAGGGGAGATATTATGTTTCCAGGCAAACAGAGTCACTTTATAGCACAACCGAGTTACTATGTCACCTTCAGTTATTATAAAAATGCTCAGCGGTTTCAGAAAGTTTTCAGAACCCTTTAAATTTAGCTAAAATAAAAAAAGCTCAAATTATTTCCCATGAATGAACACTCAGCGTCTTGACAGAAAAACCCAGAAATGAACTTTCTGCAAATTTATCAAAAAAGAAAACTAGACAATCATTGACATAAACAGAAACCATCATGTCCGCCGTCCCTCAGTGACTCTATAACTTGAGAGAGCAGCAGGTGAGCAGCCTACCTGTCTGACTTCACCATCCTGTAGATCTTCCTGTGATCCGTCATTTCGTCCAGAACCTCAGTGAAACTTTTCGTTCTCCTCTGCCAGCCGTGACGCCAAACAGCCAAAAGTGTGTCTTCAAAATACACTGCAGACAAAAATGTACTTTTAATATGCTTGATAATTATAATCACTCATAATGAAGGAGTTTAGAACATCTGCATGGGACTAACAGGACGTATTTTGGCCATTCAGTGAGAATAATAACAGTTGATCATTCAGTTGATCAGTATTTATCAGCTGACTGATGGTTTTTCTCACCTATAGATTCAACGTCATGAGAGAAAATGGTTTCCTGAGGTGGATGTCGGTTCGTCTTCAGCTCTCCTTCCAGGTTGACGACTTGAACCGACCCTGCAGAAAAAACAGGAGTTAAAACGCTACAGAAGTGGCAAACGGAGGATCCACCCACCAGAGTTCAGACAAAAGAGTGAGAAAGTAAATGAAAAGAGAAAAAAGAGAGTAAAAAAGAATGAAAAACAACTGAAAAAATTATAAAGTGGAAAAGAAAAAATAGAAAAAAATATAAAGAGAAAAAGGAAAAATTATAAAAAATAAGAAAAAGTGAAACAAAAATTAAAGGAAAAATCTAAATTGAAAATAGAAAAAAGAATAAAAATTAGAAAAACAGAGGAAAAACTGATTAAATAAAAAACTGAATAAATACAGAAAACAAAATAAAGCAAAAAAGGACAAGAAAGAAAAATAAAAAAATTAATAAAACAAAAATAATTTCAGGTAAAACAGAAGAAAAAATAGAAACATTTGAGGAAAAATGATTAAAGGAAAATACCTGACAATACAAACAAAAAGGAAAAAACAAACATGAAGGAAGACAGGAAAAATAAAATAAAGAAAAAGGAACAAAGAAGAAAATATTGAGAAAGGTTAGCTAAAATCCAAGATGGGCGACTGCTTATTTGTCGTAGAGTGATGGCGCAAGAAACTTTAACTAGACCGTGGGAAGTTCTACCAAATTTACTACCTTTACCATAAATTTAACTGAATCAGGAGAATAAATTTAATTTCATGCACAGCTGACTGCAAAATTTGCTGAGTTTTTGTTTATGTTTAAACTAAAAAAAGCCAATTTATTTAATAAAAGGACAATAATAAAAATCAGAAAATCGTCCAGCTATTATACATCAGGTCTGGCTGCTTCAGTTAGTTTTAATTACTTTTTACTAGTAATTGCTAGTTTTTATTAGTTAAATATTCTGTTTAGTTTCAGGTTTTTTTAAACTTTGGTTAATTTTTCGGTGCAGAATTGAAAAAGGTCTAAGTATTGTGACTATGTATATGTAGTTTGGGTAATGAATACTAAACAGATGACAGTATTTTCAATAAATATAATTAATTACTGTTGAAAGCTAACTGACTGGTGTTTTACTCCAATGTTTGCTGCCGCCGTTTTGAGGGCTCTGCAGTACGGAGTGCCGTAAATTGACGTAAGCTGGTTGTGTGGGTAAAAAAAGACTAATAAACAGATTCATAGAAACAAAAACGAAGGATATTACATTAATAATTGCCAATAATTGCATAATGTTACTTCTAGTTTTTCCCCCATTAATTACTGTTTTTATTTATTCCGGTTTTTGTTATGTCGTTAGTGTTGCTACGGTAACAGTGGGACTTACGCTCCATGAGCACCAACAGCGAGTTTCCGTCCAGCTGGTTGACCTGGACGACGTCGGGACAAGGTTTCTCTGTGGGGACAGAAACGCCGTGAGCGACTCGACGCAGTGGCTGCTGGGAAACGTCCAGAGGGGAACGGCGGCTCACCCATGCCGGAGCTGAAGAACCAGGACGTGTTGGAGTTCAGGTTGATGTATTCCACGCTGACCGGTGTGCTGGGGCTGCAGCCGCGCGACACACCGATGCACACCATGGGGTACTCCTGCAGCGGCGGCACCACCATCTCAAACACCCGCAGGGGGCTGGGCAGCGGGAAGTCAAAGTGCTGCAAGGCAGGGAGACAGCGATCACTCAGACCTCCCCACTGGGAAACATTCACACGATTAATCGATTATTCAAATAATCGTCAACTAGCTTACGATCGATTAATCGTCACACTGCGAAAACAAAATCTTTTTTTGCCGATTTTCACTTGAAATGAGACAAAATTGACTTACAAGTAGGCCTTTCACATAATCAACATGCATTAATAGGATTTACTACTACTATATAATTACACTGCTTATTAATAATATTTACTGTATTCCTCATTTCCATTCCTCAGTTTCCAGTGCTAAAAAAATAAAACGTCTGTCTGTAAGTATTTTCTACCCAGAACTCATCAAGTAGTAGTTTCAGCTTCACCTGGTTCAAATTCTGTAAAAATCTCCAAATAAGCATCAAATTATTGATCAAATTACAGATTAGCTCTACGCTGTATTGATGCTGAGTTGACAAAAAGAGCTGAACTTTTCACGTTAATATTTTTTAACTGCAGATGCATCCTTTGCTACAAATGATCAAGTGTTCACTAAAGGATTGTTATTTTATTATGTTTTAGGCAATAAAATGTTTATTTTCCTATTTGAAAAAGTATTTGACTAAATTTCTAATACTGTATAAAAAGGTGAAGTGGTTCAATAAAAAGTCTGTAGAATGAGCCACATTTTTTTACCCAGTTTTTTAAAATCAATTAATCGTCAGAATAAATTATTAATCAGCAGAAGAATCAATTAATCATTAGAATAACCGATTAATCATTAGAATAATAGATTATTAAAATAATTGATAGTTGCCGTCCTTGTCTGACCTTAAAGAAAACTTTTCTAAAAGTCGTATTTTTACCCTCGTTAGCGCGTCTCCTGAGTTCATGTGGTTCATTTTTAAATGCTCGTACCTTGATTAGCATGAACTTGTGCATCGGCTCGTACCACTGCAGCAGAACCACGCTAGAGTCCAGAGCGCAGCAGAGGAACAGGTTTCCCCCTGGAAAAACAAAAACAGCTCTGGAGTTTTAATCTGAAACGCATCAGAAATCCGTCATTAAATGAAAATTAAATCCAGATCTCTGTTCAGTGACTCGGGTTTTCCTGCTCACCGACTGCGCAGGTCTTGCAGCCCTTGGTATCCGGTATTTTGCTCGTCACCGGACATTTTCTAAACAAAACACAGTTTTAGCGTGGCGAATTCTTCCATCTTTTCGCTGGGAAATGAAACGGCGGATGAAACAAAGCCCCCGTTACCTTGACAACAGCCTGTGAGTCGATAAGGGAACCATCCGCTGGTCTTTCCTGGCCTGTTCGTATAATTCTTTTAGTGAGTGTGAATGAAGCTGCGACGATTTACCTGGAAAACAATCAATTTTATTCAGTTTTCTTTCAGTTTTAGAGGAATTTTCCTTTAATAAAATCCACAAATTTCAGCAGAAAGGAGCTAGCTGCAGCTGAGGCTGCAGGTTTGATGGTTAACCCTTTAAAGGCTGATTTTATTTATTTAATTTCTCCAAACAATGTTATTATTTATGTATTTGCTGTAAATTAATTAGAGATTAGAAGTGGGAACATTTCACCCACCATTAGTGTAAATGTAGCTATGATGCTAATTAGATACACCAGACACTTTAGGAATGAAAAAACAGTTTATTACTTTATTGATGCTGCTTTTGCTCAAATAAAATGTTGAAATTGAGTCAAATTCTATAAAAATATTCATCGCTGGGTTTTAAATGCCGTATCTGTACAGTTCCATTAGGTCCTAGCAGGACCTTTGAAATATGAAATCAGTTTTAGAAAGAGAATTTCACCATACATTTTTGAACAATTATTGGTTTTCATCCTGCAGTGTTTTAAATACAGCTAATGACTGAAATATCCCTTTGCTTTTCTCTTACAGAAGTTTTTCTTTACTGTTTCAATAAAAAATAGTTTTTTATTGGGGTATATACTTATACAGTAACTTTATTCATCATTATTTAGATATTTTTTGTAATGTCCTTTGATTTAAGGTTTCATAACCAAAATACACTCACTGAATTGACTATTTCTACAATTACTCAAAAAGCTTTAAACTCAAAATTAGAATAAATGTAGAATTATGAATTGTTTTCTCTCTTTTAAAGCATCTTTGAGTGTCCTAAAAAGCTCTATATAAATATTATATATTATTAGAAACGACTGGTAATTTTGGTGACATGTTGTCTATTTTAATATATAATAAGTTGTATACATATGAAATTAACCCTTAGCTAATATTATTATTGTTATTAGCTAAGGGTTAATTTTATTTACTGAAATGTTCTCCCACCTTAATGTCCATGAACTGCATGCAGTTCACACTTTGACCACCAGATGGAAGCAAAGCGCTTCCAACAGAATGAGCGATTATCAAACATTTTCTGTTTGAAAGTTTGTTTAAATGGGGAGTTTGTTTGTTTGTTTGTTTGTTTGTTTGTTTGCTTGTTTGTTTGTGGTTTCCCGCCATTTTGTTTTAACTAATTTCTCCTCTGTGTTGTGGCCAGCCGGGAAATTTAGGAATTGTATTTTTTATTTTATTTCAGATAAGATTTTCACTTCGTTTTCCAGTCAGGGCTACATTTTTGTTTATTTTAGGCTTGGAAACCCTGAAATATTTGCTTTCCGTTTGTAAAACCCTGTGGAAAAATGAATGATTGAGATGCTATGTTGATTATTTTATTCATTGGCTTCACGTTAATTTACAATTTATTACAGTAAGGGAAAAGAAAGGTTTAACAAAAAACTACAATCAATACTGCTAATCATAATAATGATAATGACAATGAATAAGTTGGGTGAAAATTAAGGGATGAGCTTTTAAATAAACAAAAAAATAGAGAAATATTCATATTAATGTCTTATGTATTTTATTTATCAGTGTAAAAATTAATTAAATGTAATTTAATAATTAATTAAAATAATATAATTTTACTCATCAAACAAAAGATATCAGTAAATATGTGTCGTTTAGCAATGGAAAAGCTTAAACGCTTATTGCTTATTTTAATAGTCCAAACACCAAATATAACTTAGTGTGCTTAAATACTCACTTTAAACTCCAAAAAGAAAAAAAATAAACTAATTTGATGAACAAACTGAGCTGAATGCACTGCTTCTTAAAACTGTTTTTCATTTCCATTCCTCAGACGCCTAGTGTCGCTAAAAAGCATCAAACTCAAAATTAGAATTATTTTTTTCTCTTGCAAAGTATCCTTGAGTGTCTTAAAAAGCCATAATAACGTTGTTAGCTGTTGTAGAAAACATTAGTAAGTTTATCTGATTGAATTTAAATGATATTTTTGTGTAAAATTCCTGGAGTTGACACATGTTGTGAATTCCTGCTGCATAAATAAACCAAACTGATCTGAATTGAACAGCTGTGATTATCCAGCTTGTTATTTACCTGACACAGACATGAGGACGTTGTTAATGGTGTAAACCCAGGAGCATTTCCCAGGATACAACTGGAAGAGAGGAAACAAACACCATGTTTAAACATCTGATTCAGTTTAAATGTTTGGCGTTTAAGGCAGACCGTACCAGCTCCATGGTCGCCTCGGAGCCGTTGAGGTTCAGGGTGTAGATCCCCTCCTCGGCCCCCATGATCAGGTGCTGCTCTGCAGGACGAAGAGGACGAAGAGGAGGAAGGTAAACATTTTGGGACATATAAAGACCACCTATGTTCTTAAAGGGCCGGTTGGCCAGAACGTATTTCTAAAACCCTTTAAACTGGTAGAATAAAATAAAAAGCTGTGTCTGCATTCAGTAAGGACTTATTAAAATTAAATAATGTCGAACATTTGTTTAGATTGGAGAGTCCATCTTTGATTTCATAACTGTTTTCAATCAAAAAAAATATTGTATTAGTACTTGTTTAATAACCATTTATCATTATTTATATATTATTTTAAAAATACTTTCAGTGAATTTCCTATTTCCAGAATTATACTGATTTTTAATACTATTTGCTGTATTTCTTTTTTCCATTCCTCAGATGCCGAGTGTCGATAAAAAGCTTCAAACTCAAAATTAGAACAAATTTAGATTTAATTATTTTTTTCTCTTATAAAGCATCTTTGAGAGTCTTAAAAAGCTCTATATAAATTTGATATATTATTATTATTATTATTATTATTATTAGAAATAACTTTTGGTCATGTTATCTATTTTAATATAGGTAGAAAATATTAGTAAGTCTAAATATATATATATATATATAACTTCACAACTTGGCTCGGGGTTAATTTTTATCAAATTATCTATTTGTGATTTTTTGCAATCAAAATCTCAGATTCTCTGGCGCTAATTTAAAACTATATGCAATAAATTTTGCTCATTTTTCACTTCTGTGTGACGATAAATGTGGTTCTGTTACTCGCCGTATCGATCATGAGCTTCACCTTGACAGGAACTGAGGCAGCAGTGGAGCAAAAGAAATGCTGCCACCTGCAGGTGGGAGTTAGCATCACTCAGACCGGGGCATTAGGCCGATAAAATAAAAGATTTAATTTTTTTACTTTCATCTACTTCGGGATCAGTAAAGTTTTTTTGAATGTTGAATTGAATTTGAATTTCTGCGATCACACAGTCACAAAAACAGGAGGGACTGATTGAAGTAATTTGGCCTCTGGAGTCTAAGGGCCACATAAGAAGCTCTGATGGGCCGGATTTGGCCCCCGGGCCTTAAGTTTGACACATGAAACAGCTGGCGGTTCGGGAACCTTTGGACGTCGGGTTTTCCCAGGTTGTGGAGCAGTTTATTTTCAGAGGGCAGCCGTGGAAAATCTTTTTAAAATAGACCTGAAGACAGAAAGAGAGAAGGAGATTCAGATTAAAACAAATTAAAATGAGTTTATGAAACAAGCTCAGATGGAGGAGGAACTCACAGGAGGTTTCTTCAATACGGGGCTGGGGCATTCTGGGAGATCCTGAGGAACAAAGACGGAGAAAAAACTCACAAATCTGACGGGATGAACTGAGAGACGATCAGATCTATCGCTAATATTTAATAATCTAGATTAGCAGTCTGCAACCCGAGGCTCGTTGGAGTTTAAAGTTGGGATTTGGGCTCTAATCTTCTCCCGTACGTATCCGCAGGTCTCAGTAAGTCGAATTTAAGACTTTTTAAGCCTTTGTTCTATGAACAAAGGCGATCCGATGATCCTATAGATCTGTAACATTTTAAGATCTTTATTTTAAGTTAATACATTTAAGGCTTTTTAATGATGGCCAGACACCTTATGCTTTTATAAACGTCTTATTGTTTAATGAACCTAGAAATCAGATGTTTGCCGTTTCCCCAATGAGTTTCATCAGAAGACAGTTTGTCTTTTTCAGGAGGTAATTTAACTTTTATAAAGTTTATTTTTATCTCTTTAGGCTGTTTGCTGATCTCTGATCTAAAAACAAATTAGATTTTCCCGAAAACTTTGTCTTCTTTCCTACCTTTGATATCGGTTTCCGTCTTCTGAAATCTTTAGGAGGAAGTTCTGGAGGAACCGGGTCAGCTGGGATGTTTTGGATCTGGGTCGGTAACGATGGAGGGTCTAGATCACAAAAACAGAAAAAACACAAAAACATTTTTACTAAATCTGAACTGGAGATAAATTTACATACCGACGCTAAGATCGATATCGGACGATATTCATCATTTTTACATATATCGGTATCGTCCAATAAATAAAACCGATATTTTTTCTGTCTTGTCGCTTCTTGTTCTTTCTTTCTTTCTTTCCTTATTTTATCCCTTCTTTATGCATTTCCTTTCCTCCCTTCTCTCTTTCCTTATTTACTTCATTCTTTTTTTCTCCGTCCTCCTTTGTTTTTCTTTTCCTTCTACCTTTCTTCCCTCCTTTGTTTTTCTTTCCCTCCATTCCTTTCTTAAGTTCCTTCTTTTTCCTTCCTTTTTTCTCTTTTCTTCTTTCTCACCTAAGGTGAGTCACCTTCCTACCTTACTTTTTTATTCTTTTCCTTCCTTGTTTCCTTATTTATTTCCTTCCTTGTCTTCTTTCTTTACTTTCTTCCTTTTCTTTATTTTTTCTTTACTTCTCCACTTTTTTCTTCTCTTTCCTTTCCCCCCTCCTCCTTCCCTCCGTCTCCATCCCTCCATCCCCCTGTCGGAGGTTTGCCCCTCTCTGATTGGCTCGGCTCACCTGAGTGTCGTGACGCCCGTGGGTGCGGCGTGGGTCGGACGTGCGTCCCGCTGGAGGTCCGTATGAGCGGGGCGGGCGCAGGGGGACACAGGGATCCGTGTTTCCTCGACCGGTCGTCCTCTGACGCCATGCTCTCCTCCGAGCTGGTCCGGGCTTTGGGCTAAACGAAAACAGCGACTTGTGAAAACGGATCAACAGAAACGACGAAAAGTCCCGTAACAGAATGACCGATCCTGAAGGCTTTAACAGAGAAAAGAAAATGATAAATGATCTGAGATTTTTACTGGTTATTGATATTCACCTTCAATAGCGATTCATGCTAGCTCAACTGTTTCTGATCTTCCTGAGCTAACAGGCTAACAGGCTAACAGGCTAACGAAGGCTGGTGGAGTCAGAGGAGTTTAAGCTTCTGATTTTTCTTAAATTCGATCAAAACACCAAGGGTGTACTTAGTTTCTCCATGCACATGAGTGAAGTTTGTCCCTCCCACCTTCTTCAAATTTAAACACATTGGCGTCAAACGTTTGTTCTGCTGTTTCCAGAGGTCATGAAAGGTAATTTTGTTAAATTCATGTATTTAAACGAATCTTCAGTAATGAAACTGAACATTGTGATGTTTTTGTACGTTAGAGGTCAGATTTAAAGTCCAGATCAGGTTTATTTTTACTGACACCAAAAACCCGGGGTGTACTTTCTTTTTCTGCTCAGAGAAAACGTTTTCGGCGTTGGGGTCGGTTCTCACCTTTGGAGGAAGCGGAGGAGGAGTTTCGTCTTCTGGCATTATGAGACTGTCGGAGAGAGAAGGCTGGGTCAGTAGTTGCCTTGGAAACAAGCCGGAGGCGTTACGATTTATCGGAAATAAATCGCAACATCAGCGTGAAATATCCACATCGTAAAAAACCGCTGGAGCGCAGTGACTGCTGGCTAAAATATCAACCCTTATTCTTCAGGTTAATGTAATATTCAGCCAGCTGGACGTTGGATGGTGACCAAAAGGTTAAAGGTCACAGAGTGAAGGAGGAAACGGGCAGAGGCCCAAACTAAGTGTTACACGACGACTCAAAAAAATAGAATAAAGTTAGAATATTATCAGGAAAAAAGACAAAATAAGATAATAAAGTCATAATATTACCAGAATAAGATGAAATAATAAAAAGTTGTAATAACATGAGAACATGACACAAAAGTAGTTATTTTATAAGAACTTATTTAAATATATAAATGAGGAATGTTGAGCATCTTGTTAAGTTACATATAAGGAAAATCTTAACCTTTTAACACATTATCATAAAATTAAAATCCAAAGCAGGATACTGAGACTTTTCTCTATTGACTAAAATGTAACTTTTTTTTTAATTTTCTGACTTTTTGTTGGTCTATTTTCACAAATATGACTTTATTCTCATAAATAAAGGAATACTCTGTTGTAAAGGTTTCCTATCGTCACGCAGCAATAAAACAAACATGAGGAAAAGTTTGTTCGTCTCACCATGAGGGCTGCATCGTCGGTCTGAAGGGACAAAGAGAAAGAGAAAATATAAAACTAATGATTTTACAACCAAACACAAAATAAATGTAGTGTTAAAAAACAAGATCCATGTTATTATTTTTTAATTTTCTTATTTCCTCACATGTCCACGTCATCGTAGTCGTCCGAGTCCGAGTCCTGATCCCTGAGAGGCGAAAGGGGAAACGTTAATCAGTTTATTGCAGATAAATTGCTTTAATTTGGGATTTAATCGGATTAATTCGTTACCTGGATGGGCTGTTGATGCTGCCTGTTGATCCTGATGACGGCGTTAACTGTGGAAACAAAGAAAACCCAACATATGAAACTTATCAAATGTTTCTGGAATATCTGATGAAGGTAAAAATTTGATATTTCCCCCAATTATTATTAACTTAAAGTGGACAGTTAATGAAAAATCCCATTTTTATCCCTTAAATAGACTTTGCAAAACTAATTTATTCTCTCCCAGTGCTGTTAGTATCTTTATATTCTGTTTCTGTTGTATTTTTCAGGCTTTTCTATTTTCTGATGCATTTACATCACAGTATTTGCTAGAGAACTGCTAACTAACTAGCTAGCCTTGTTTACAAGATTCATGTTAATGTAGCATTAATATTCTGAAAGGTATTTTAAAGATATTTTGAAAATAAACTGAAGAGAAAGGATCTGACACACTGCAAACACACAAAATCTTACAAAGTATTTTTATCTCGATTCTAGTGCAACCCCTTAAAATAAGTCAAAACTTATTTTAAGTCAAAACTAAAAGTAAGTTTTGAATTAAAAATTATTTTTTAAGTTTTAAGTTTCTGTATCTTTCTATTCAGAAAGATACAGAAACTTATTTTATGTCAATAATTGCTTAAAATACTAGTTTCATTTGAAGATTAATTAATAACATGGGAAAAATGTCTTCCTATCAGTGAAATAATCTGCCAATGGATCTACTACATTTCTATCCATATTCAGGAATTATTTACTTAAAACAAGCTCCTATATCTTGCTAAATATTTACTTTTCAGGAAGTCTTGTCTTATTTCAAGTGTAATAAGACATTTGCATTAGAAACTAAACAAAAAACTTGGTAAGATTTTTAGACACAAATATTCTGGAGGAACTGATCAAGTAAGAAAATGATCAGTATTATTTAATTTTGAAGAAACACATTGATTACAGAGACAGCTACTTATAATACTATACTTATAATACTTATAATAATATAATACTTTAACAGTTTTGATCGATATATTCTGGCACACCGGCCCTTTAAGAACATTCAGAACAAGAACCGACGAGGAGAAACAAAGAAACTGGAACTGAAATCGCACCGTTACGTTTGGTGATCCGGTCTTCATCGGCCTCTGGGTGTAAATCTGTTCGACTGATCAGACAGAGATGGTGTTAAATGTGTCCAGAGAAGCTTCCAGTGAAACTAAAAACACAAAAGCGCAGCGGGTTTCTCACAGCTGATGTCGGAGTTGGTCCTCTCGGCCCGGTTGTGTTTGTTGATAGACTGGATTCTTCTTAGCGACGCAGGAGGCGCCACCTTAGATCACAAAGAAACGAAACAAAAAAAGCTGAAAACACAGAGAGTTTCAGAGGAAGGAGCTGAGCAGCTAATCTGAGACCGGTGTATTTAATCCCTGAGCGTCTGATGCAGACCTCCATGTCGTCGTCCTCCGTCGACACGCAGCTCTTGTGTTTCTCAGGATTCTTGAACTTGTCCAGCAGATCCAGAGTCAGTTCCTGGTTCAGACACTGCTGGGTCAGAAACGGATGCTGCGCAAAAAAATAAGGAAAAATAAACATCAGGGGATCTGAGGAAACAAAGCTGCAGGTTAGCAGTAAATCAGGGGTGTTCAAAGTGTGGCGTGGGGGCCAATTGTGGCCCCTGGGATGATTTCATGTGTAATCTGCCATAATCTGCCAATGGAGCTAATAGTTTTTCATCAACATTTTGTAAGTTGGTTTTGTCTTAATTAAGATGTTTGCACTAGAAACTAGACCAGAAGTACTTGGTCATATTTTGTGTTTTTGCAGCAGGTGAATGTGATGCAGACGGATTCATCTGATGAATGAATGAATGAATGAATGAATGAATGAATGAATGAATGAATGAATCTGAACTCACTGAGAGCATCTTGGCGGCGCTGGGTCTCTTCTTGGGATTCCTCACCAACATGGCTTTCACAAAGTTGTAGAAGTTGGACGACCTGCGGACAGGAAGCAGGTCATGAGATCAGGGACCAACTGATCCTTAAAACAGATCAAATTTATCTGCTACGGCTGATATTTAAAATAAAAAACAACAACACTAAGGCTGTTTACACATCTGACAGTCCAGCAGACTCGGTTCTATCTGGAACCAAAATTGCAACATTGGCTCCATCTCCAGCTGCTGCGGTTCTCTTCCTCTCTGCTCTGAGTCAAACCAACCAAACCCTTTGAAAAACCTGTTCCCCTCCTGACCTGTGGGGGCGCTGTAACTGAAGGAAGCAACAGGAAAACCTCACACAACTTCACAAAACAAACAAAAATGGAGTGGTGCCAGATTTTAGTGGTTGGAGGAGCCGTTTCTCCTGCTAGCGCTAGGCTAACATGTTTGTTTTGGTTTACCCAGAATGCCCTGTGCTGTAGTCTGCTTCCTGTTTTTGGAGCGTCTCTGGTCTGCTTAACGTTCACATATGCATTCAACCTGAACCAGAGTTCACTTCAGCCAAACCCAGACCGAGGTTTGTAGGACCAGAGTTAGCTTAGCATTCAAATTTCAACAGGAGTTATTTACTAAAAACAAACTACTATTTCTTGTTAAAAAGTTATTTGTAAGTTAGTTTTGTTTTATTTCAATTGAAATAAGACATTTGCACCAGAAACTAGACAAAAATACTTGGTAAGATTTAGTGTTTTTGCAGTGTGTCCATTATTCTGCTGCCTTTGTTTTCTATCTGGTTAAATAAAGGTTTAATTAAATAATAATATGTTTACCATTTGGATTTGTCCTTCAGTTTCGGGGGCTGGTATCCGCTCTTGGACATGAGGAACAGAACGCTGCAGGAGGGACAGAAACAGATCCATGAGACACGAACCAGGAGAAACTTTATGCTCTTCAGCAAATTATCTGCAGCTGATTTTGCTTCTGGCAGATAAAGAATGGAAAAATGATGTTAATGAGCTGCAGTGGTGCAGCTGGTACACAAGTTGCTACATGTTCACCATGACTAAAGAAGAGACAAAGGAAGCGTCATCTTTAAATAAACTGTAGGTGTGACTGACTGCAGCTGGATATATTTATGCTCCTTTTTATAGTTTTCTTCTAACAATTCTCCTCCTCCATTGACTGTAAACATGTTTATTTTTATCATTCGTATCATTACCCAACAGACAAGTAGTAAATAATTATTTAATATTGATTTTTTTAAAAATGCTGGTTCCACTGGCAGATTATTTTACTTAAAACATTTTTCACTTGTTAAAAGTGAAATAGTCTGCCAATAGAACTAGAACATTTTCATCAATATTTAAGGAATTAGATTTAAAATAAGCTCCTATGTCTTGTTGGAACGTTACTTATAAGGTCGTTTGTCTTATTTGAAGTGTACAAAGGTATTTACACTAGAAACTAGATAAAAAATACAGGTAAGAGTTTGTGTTTCTGCAGTATTGTTGGTTTAATTTACAAAAAACTTTTCAGGAAGACATAGGATCCTATTTTAAATAAATAATTCATTAATATTCATGAAAAAGTTCTAGTTCCAGTCATAACACGACATTTTCCCAGGTCATAAGTGAAATAATCTGCCAGCAGAACAAGAATTTGGTTGCTAGGTAACAGCCTGGATTTGACTGGGGTTGCTAGGTAACGGGTTGGGCTTGGCTAGGGTTGCTAGGTGACAGCCTAGGCTTGGCTATGGTTGCTAGGTAACCAGATGGGCTTGGCTGGGGCTGCTAGGTGACAGCCTGGACTTGACTGGGGTTGCTAGGTAACGGGTTGGGCTTGGCTGGGGCTGCTAGGTGACAGCCTAGGCTTGGCTAGGGTTGCTAGGTAACCAGTTGGGCTTGGCAGGGGTTGCTAGGTAACGGCCTGGACTTGACTGGGGTTGCTAGGTAACCAGTTGGGCTTGGCTGGGGCTGCTAGGTAACGGTGCGAAGTCCGTTGATTACCAAGTAATCTACCAGTGGAATTTGTACTTTTTCACCAACAATAATGAATTATTTATTTAAAATAAGCTCCTGCATATTAGCTTAAAAGTTACTTGTAGGTTAGTTGGTCTTAATTCAGTGCTGACATATTTTCAATAGAAACAAGAGATAAAAATACATGAGAAGAAACTTAAAAACCATAAAAAAAAGGAAGCATATGCACATTTCCTAGACATGCTAGTGCAAATCAAAGCCCAGCAGAGGGCGCCGTTGCAGGAAACAGCGGCTCATTGGGCGGCTCCAGCCTCCTGCTGTGAATCATTCAGCTGTTTGCTGGTGTGAGTGTGAGCGTTTATTCACCGCAGCGGGTGAACGTCAAACAGGGGCGGCTGCAGCTCTGCCAGCTCGATGGCCGTGATTCCCACTGACCAGACGTCACACAGCTCGTTGTAGCCGCCTTTAATCTCCACAGCTGCTACCTCTGGCGCCATCCTGAGGACAGGAGGGAGAAGACGAAAAGTTAGCCGGAACATTTTGAAAACCAAAATCTCCAAGTAGTTTTATTGGATTCTTGTAAAAATATCTCAATACACTTGAACTAAGACAAAACTAACTTATCTTGTCAGGAAATAGCAGCTTGTTTCAAGATATTATTCCTTAAAGTTCCAGTTCACTGGCAGATTATTTCACTAACAACGCGGGGAAATGTCTTGCTGTAAATGAAATAATCTGCCAATGAAACTGGAAGTTTTTCATCAACATCAAGAGGAATTATTGACTAAAAAAAGATTCTATTTGTTGAAAAGTTACTTGTAAGTTAGTTTTTCTTATTCCAAATGTAATTAAATATTTGATCTAGAAACCAGACTAAAAATATTTTATGTTTTTGCAGTGTATGGTCAGGGATAAGAACTGGACTAATGGAAAGAAGCAAAGGTTAGAAGAAAAACAGAAAAACTATTAAAGCTGATTTAAAATGACTGTGGCTGTTTGGAAGCAAAGTGAACATATTGATTAAAATATCTTGTTTTAAGTCAATAACCCCTTAATATCGATATTAAAAAATTTTGAATTTCACTGAGATTATTTCACTTATAACAAAACATTTCTCCCTAAACTGAAACTTCTTTACAAAAATGAACAATAAGGAATTATTTACTTAAACTTCTATTTACTCAAAAGTTACTTGTAAGTTCATTTTGTCTTATTTAAACTGTACTAAAACATCTGCATTAGAAACTGACAGTTTTTGTGTACCTGAGGTGTTAATGTTAATTTTTTTTACAAAAAGTTATTCATGCAAATGTAACTAGTTATTATCTGCGTCTGTAAGTTAGTTTTGTCTTTTTCAAGATTTTTGCAACATAAATGTTAGGTACATTGTATTATTATTTATCAAATGTTGTTATATCTTTATAATATTCTTGCTTTATGTACACTTATTTGTTTAGCTATATCTTTAAGAAATGTTCTTGTATTGTTAATCACTGATTTCCTTCCTCAGAGGGCCTCTCTGAAGAAGAGCAGTGACAGCAGCTCTCTACAGAACGCCCTGCTTTTTGACCTGTTAGCTGTAAAACCGTCGCCATGAAGACGTACAACTTGCTCTGTTTGACCCTGGGTCAGGAACTGGATAATCCACATTAAGATAGATTGTGTTGTTAGTTAGTGATAATCTTGGCGCTGTGAATGTGTGATGAAGTGTTTTCCCCCTCCCTTTAGAGTTACAGTGCTCTCTGTGATTAGGGATCCTAAACACAATAAAAAGAGAGGGGCAGGCAAATGTGCTTCAGAGCGGTAGGAGATTGTAACTGAAAGCACATCTCTGTCTGTTCTCCTCGCGAGTATTCAGAATCTAACTCTCTCTTGTCTTTCCTGTGTTATTTAATCTGTGTTAATAGGCGTCAACTCTGACAATAAACTAGACAAAAAAATACAGTGTAAGATTTTGCTTTTTCTGTCTAATAATTGTAAAAGCCATGAAGAAGCCATCAGGTTGGCGTCTTCATTTGCAGTTAGATTTGCATAATTATTGTTTAGTTTAGTAATAAACTGTGGCCTAAGTTAGCAACACGCTGCGTTCATTCTGATTGGAGCTGCAGAGAAACGGCGGCGCGTCTCACCAGTACGGCGTCCCGATGAAGGACATCCTCCGAGCCAGAGTGGCTGTGATCTGAGCCGAGATCCCAAAGTCAGCTGCAATTAAACAGAAATGAGAAAAGACATTTAAAATCTAAAATATGCTACTCATTTAGCATCTCTTGCTGCTAAGGTCTGCAGCTCAACCCTTTGACGTTCGCTCAACCCTTGTGAATCGAGTGAAAATTAGCAGTAAATGTTGTAAATGTTTGTGTTTTTGAAGTAATGCCAGTTTTACGAGGCAGCAGAGGTGTTGTGATGAGATCTGCCACCTTGGCGGTGAGTGACTCATGCTAACCACACCGCGACACTGCAGACGCTGCAAACTTCCACCTACCCAGTTTGACCTCGCCCTGATCATTCAGGAGGATGTTGGCACCCTGCAAGGAAAAGAAACGCAACATGAGAGCAGCTGCACCACAGAAACCTTTTCATTCTTCACAGCTTCTCCCTCTATCTGCCCGGCGATCTGTGAGCAAAGCCGCACAGGACGGAGAGCGAAAATACACGACTGACAGCTGGAAACTGATTAGCTGGAGCTCAGACACCTGACGGTTTACCAGGAATGTTATTTCTGGACATCAGAACAGCAACTGTCATCAATCTAGTTCTGCAAAAGCAGAAAAAGTGTTTTCCAGGAAAATGTGGAGTTTGATTATTCAGTAAAAACTTCTGCACTGCAAAAACGCAAAATCTGAAAAAATATTTTAGTCTAGTTTCAAGTCCAAATATCCTAAAACACTTGAAATGTGAGAAAACTAACCTACAAGTAACCTTTCAGTAAGATACAGGAGCTTGTTTTGAGTCAATAATTATTGAATATTGATTAAAAAAACATCTAGTTCAAATGTACTAAGATAATTGCACTAAACTAAACCAAAAGTACTTGTTTAGATTTTGTGTTTTTGCAGTGCAGGAGTCTGCATGTTTTAGCTGAATGTTTGATCTTAAGAAAACAAACGCAGAGTTCACATAAACAGAATCGGTTTCGACCGGCTGACCTTGATATCTCTGTGGATTTTCTTCTGTGCGTGCAGATAGTCCAGGCCCTGCTCACACAAACACAGGAGACTTTTACTTTGAAGGTCCTTAAAAATATGCAAGGAAACCTGGAAAACAGAGCGGTTACCTGCAGCATCTCCCTGCAGACGTAGGCGATCTGTGGCTCAGACAGAGAGCCGGTCACTGCAGGACAACATTCATGTTTAATCGTTACAACGAAACGCAGACATTACGGCCTTCAAAATAAAATACACGAAGAAGGTGAATATGATGCTTTTTGTTGAAGCTGGTTTATACACAATGGAAAACGGAAAAACAATCTGAAAACATGAGTGATGGAAACTCTAAAACCCACAAAACAAAAAACTCTGCAAATAAAAAATACTGAAATCAAAGAAAACACATAAAAATGAACAAAACAAAAGCAAACTAAAAACGCTGCAGACAGAAAGTAAGAACAAGAAAAACGTCACAATTAGTAAAAACAGCAAAAAGTTTTTTTTTGTTTTTTTTTTTTTTGTCGTTTTTTTTGTTTTTTTATTGTTTGGGGTTTTGGCCAGGTGAGGATCCACTGCACCTGTTTCCAAATGAATAAAAAACAAACTACTGACACAGAATCTGATTTTGATAAAATATTTTTGTTTTAATTCAACACTGAAGTCAATTAAAAATTTACCATTAAAGCAAAAATGTGCTGCAGGTTTCAAACTAAAAAACAAAAACTGAACTAAATTGAAAAAAGGTGCATTAAAGTTTGTCGACGCTTTTACAGATGAAAAGGATTCAAGTTTTCAGTTTTATTGAAAAGTGATAAAAATATTGGCAGATTCTTTCTGATCACCAGGATAAAGATCAATATTAATATCAGTAGAAGTCAATGCTTCCCTGTGATTTTAATAATAAGTTAACAAGCAAAACTACGACTGTGTATCAGGGAAAATGTAGAAAGAAAAAAGGAAATATCCACCAAGAAACTCTGATATTTTTTTAAATAATCTCAGAAACGTTCAGAAAAAAACGTGGAAACTTCTGAGTTTTAAAAGCTGAAAATTTTAAACTTTTCAAACTCTGAAATTTTCAGATTTTTTTTTCTCTAAATTTCTGAGTTTTTTGATGGAAATTTATTCCTTCTCCTTTTTGTCCCATCTGCAATAAAGGCTACGTCAAAATGTTTCAATGCCCTGAACACGTTAAATTATATTTGTGGAAAATTCAACTAATTACGTTTTAGTTGCAATTTTTTAAAGTTATAATTACTGGATTTAAACTTTTCCTCCATCTACAATGTTGTCAATGCTTCCCTGTGTAACCAGTAATGCTAAAACTCTTTAAAATAAAAATCTATTCTTTATTTATTTAGAAAGAAATGTGTTTGAAGACTTATGGGGGATTTTAACTCAATATTTTTACAAAGAAGAGATGAAATAAAGAAACAAACAGACCGTGGTAGATGTCCTGGAGGGACCCGCCGCCACAGAACTCCATGCAGATCCAGAGTTTATTGGCTCTGCAGGAAGACAGACGGCTCAGCGTTAGCGGCTGCGTTCAAAACGAATAAATGAGCATCCAGAGAAACGGAGACGTCCAACCGTATGTAGCTGCCGTAATACGCCACGATGTTGGGATGCTTGCAGCTCTTGACGATGACGATTTCCTGCTGGATGATGGAGAAATCGTCTTCTGTGGAGACAGAAAGCCGCTTTCAAAATAAAACGCTTGCAGACTTTTTTCCCCTCATTTTCTCTTCGTCCGCTTGGCAACAGGTGAGTCATTCTGATGGGGTTACAACTTGTTTACGATGAATCACGTTCTGTTTGGGGCTCGGATGTTTTTCTGCTCATCTTTAACGCGGCTGGAAGGTTTTTTTTCCAACCACAGTTCCTCCTGTTTACTGATTACAACATGCAGGCCTGGGGGGAAAGTAAGTGCACCCTCTTTCCATCATACGCTGCAAAAACACAAAATATTACCAAGTGTATTTGTCTAGTTTATAGTGTAAATATCTTACTACACTTGAAATTAGAGAAAACTTGCAAATAACTTTTCAGCAAAATAGAGGATCTGATTTGATTGATTAAAAAATAAAAGTTCCAGATTATTTCACTTGCATTATATTATATTATATTATATTATATTATATTATATTCCCATGTTTAAAGTGAAATAATCTGCCAATGAAACAAATGATTGTTCATCAATATTAATAAATTATTTACTTAAAACAAGCTCTTATATCTGGCTGAAAAGTTACTTATTAGTTAGTTTTGTTTTAATTCAAGTGCAGTAAGATATTTACACCAGAAACTAAACAAAATTACTTGATAATATTTTGTGTTTTTTGCAGTGTAAGGTTTTTAAGGTTTGAGGATGCAACAAAAATGATTTATTTCTCCCAGTTCTGTAGATATTTAAATATAACTTATGGTTCCATCCTGTCATTTTCTACTAAACACAGAGAAAACAATAAAACAAAGAGTTGCAAAGTTTACAGATCCAACCGTGGAGTTATGACAACACCGAGACGAAAATATAAAACAATTTAAACTTGATGCCGATATTAATGCCAACATGCTGTGCACACCAAGTTATAAATTGACAAAATAAAAAGTCAGATGGGTATTTACAGGGAATTTTATAAAAACTGTGATTTTTTTGTTCAATATTTCCTCATTTCTCAGGTTTTCTTCTCAGAATTAAAGCGTCATCTGAAAGAGTCGGATGAATTTAGTGGATTTTAGTTTCTGGAAGCAGAGAAAATAATTTTCCAAAAGGGAAACGGAGATATTTAATGGTTCGATGAAATGTTGATACAAGATCTCATCGAGAATTAGAAATAAACTTCTTTATAAAGTAAATTAACATTTCACTGCATTCGAGTCTCTGGAAAGTTTGAAGACATCAAAGACTCTGAAGGTCGATGAAGTTCTGAAGTTTTCTGCAAAGTTTTGCCTAAAATCACCACAAATCTTTATTTATGAAGCAGATTTGGCCTTTTTATCCACATGACCAAGAACTGGAGACAGTTTTCAGTTTTTAAATATGGGTGATGCAACCAAAACAAAAACTCTTGTGTCGGTTGCGTCTGACTGATGTTTGGCTGAGTGTCTGTCAGAACGATCGGCCGACGTTCACACACAAACTGCTGTCAATTCAGTCGACTTCCCCATTAGAACCAGCAGCAGATTTATCCTCTGATTCAAAGAGATCCTCACAATTTAAACTGTATTTTATCCAAACGCAGTGCATGATGGGAAAAAGGCACTTCGCACAGCTGATTTTTACCTTTTTCCACACATTTATAACATTCAACCATAATAGTAGAGTTAAAATATGATGAATTTAAACTATGTTGCTACAAGCTAACACAAACAGAAATGAACCATTTGGTGATGCAAATGGTTAAAATAAAGACAAAAACACTGAGAAACTGAGGACTGAGAAATTTTTAGATGAAGCAAAAAAAAAAAATTAAAACAACTTTTGAGAGACAAGGAGCCTCAAGTACTTAAAGACAGACTGAATGTTTGTCCTAAAGCTGCACAATAAGTCAACATACAATTTTTATCACTTTATTAACTGCAGCTAACAATTATTTTAGTGTTGATAGTGATTATTCTGATGATTAATCAATTATTCTGATGATTAATCGATTCATCAGATTGTACAATTGTGTTCTTTTGCATAATATATTTTTTTAGTTTGTATACTCCAGTTATCAATTAATCGATTACTAAATTAGTTGACAATTATTTCAGTAATTGATTAATCACAATTAATTGTGTGCAACATGGCAAAACACCTGTGAGATGCTACATTTGGCAAGCTAATATCTTTCCAGTGCCTTGCAGTCAGTCTGAATGCTAATAATATTTCTGATCAGTTTGATTCACAAGGAGATAAAAGTAATAAAGAGATGTGGAAAAAAACTGGCAGAAAAAAAGAAGAGTAAAGGACAGAAAGGGTTAAAATCAGCTGATATTTTCACTGAAATATGCAACAATAATTTGAAAAATGAACCTTAAGACTTTTTTTCTTTAACTCAATGATCTGAATTATTGCTGCTACTTTTTCACTGTGTAAATTTTAAAAAACAGAATAAAAGGTTTGAAAAAATACCAATAAAATAAATTTGGATCCAGATTTAAAGTTTTATTCTGGATATTTTTTGGCAGTTTACAAGAATCTCAGACGAAATGAGTGACGCTGGCAGCCATGTTGAGTTTTTCCACTCAGACGACCGTCTGAGACGCACTCGGCAGAAAAGTGATGCAACTGCAGGGGCTCTGGTTATTTTTGGCCATTTTGATGATGCAGTTTGGTTCATATTTCTCTCATTAAGAGAATAAAAACAATCAAACATTGTCCAAGGTTTGAAGGTGGTACAGCGTTTCTATTTGAACTAAACTGAGAAAAGAAACTAATTGCACTGAGTTTAAAATGAGTTTGAGGTTTTTATGTAGGTTAAGCTGCAACATAATTCAAGTTTTCTTAAAGACGCAGTACCTTCCCTGCCAACAAGCAAATGCAAAACATTAATTACACTAAAAAGTTGTTACAAAGAAACAGATTTTTAGATCATATAAACAGTGGAGGTGATTACGTTCAGAGAAAAATTCTTACCTGGCTCCATCTTGATAACTTTAATAGCCGCCAGCTCTCCATTCTGCTTGTTGCGGGCCTGAAAAGAATCCAAACAGAAATATTATTCACTGTAACCTGAGGCTTATGACAGCAGAGCTCATTGATGTCACTGAGTTTCCTTGTGCAACTGCAGAGTTTAATGTGCAGGTTTGCAGTCCAGATCTGTGGAGTGCAACAAACAGCCCACAACGTCGACTCTGTGGCATTACACACACACACACACACACACACACACGCACGCACGCACGCACGCACCCACACCCACGCACCCACTTATAGCAAGCGCTCATGCATACATATAGTCAAACACATGCATACTATGACCTTTAAAGGTGTGACACAGGGTGGTGTTACTTCTCTTTGCAGGATTGTCACAGCGATAAAAAAAGAAATTTAAATTAAATAATTTTCTCTTTTTGGTTTTTTGTTTTGCCAGAAAAATCTTCCGCAAACAGATGTTAATAAATGACAAGAAAAACCTGAACATTGTAGACGAACGAAAAGGAAATCATCAGGAGTAAACGTCCACCAAACAACTTGGTTGTTTTTGATGTCAAAAAGTCAGAAATTTATGAGGGAAAAATGACAGTTTTCCGTGAATAAAGACATAAATTTTAGATATTAAAACTAAAGTCAGACATTTTCTCAGAGGTCTTTGAGGAAATACATTTCCAACAGGCTCTGCAACCTGTGGCTCTGAAGCCACAAGTGGCGCGTTGGACCTCCCACAATGGGTCCCTGTAACTGAACCAACTGATGTAGAAATAAAAACAAAGGCAGGTTTCTTATTTAACTTTTTCAAAAAAATTACAGCAAAACTATTCTCAATATTATCTTAGATCTATTTTTCTCGTCATTATGTTGGAAAGTACAGTCTGTACTGGTTTTGCATAACGTTCCACAAATATCTACATCCTCTTTTTTGTGAAGATTTTATGTTTTAATTAATTTTAAAACCTCAAATTAGAAGCAAACTGGAGGTTCCTCTAGTAATTTTAGATATTGTATTTTTTTCTGCAGGTTGTGTAACATTAGTAGCTTGAGTTTGTTCAGCTGGACTGAAGGTGCAAATGGCTTTTTGGATCATGAAGATTGCTGATTTAGGAGATATTTTCTGCACATTCTTTCACATTGATGTCCTGTGGCATTATATAAATAACTGATTTCATTTGACTGATAAAATAATATGTTATCTTGAAGTTCTGGGGCCACATAAATAGCTACAGTGGGCCAGATTTGGCCTGAGGGCCTCAAGTTTGACACATGTACTTTATACTCTCAGAGAATATCTCAGATTTATATAATATATTATGGCTTTAATCATTAAAATTATCCTGGTTGTGTTACAAATTCACAAATTTTCAACATCAAAGAATCATAATGTTTTTTCTTGTAAATATATGAAATAAATATAGAAATTTTCAAGTTTTTGAGCAGAAATTTTCCCGTTCATGAGCCCTAATACTTCGTTGTCGGGTGTTAGACCTTAAAGTAAATGCCAGACTTGAGGCTTTTCTCTATAAATCAAACCACTGGCTGAAAGAACAACACTGAGAACAATGACAATTTGATGTAGATATGTATTTTTATGCATTTCACTTGAAATTTTCTAGTACTTCTTTATCTGTGTTATGAATTTTGAATTCAGTTTACTTGTATCAAAAAGGGTAACGCTCTGTGTACGTTTCATCAGCTAACTGATGAAATATTTAGTTGCACTGTCCCTTTAAAAACAAATAAATAAATAAAAACTTGATTAGAATTTTTGTTTAAAAAATGGAGCACCGTCGGAATCTGCTACCATCGGAATCTGCTACCATCGGAATCTGCTACCCACTAATGCCTTTAGGTCAGAGGTGGGAAACTTCAGGCCTCGAGGGCCGGTGTCCTGCAACCTTTAGATGTGTCTCTACTTCAACACATCTGAGTCAAATAATGATGTCATTAGCAGGACTGCGGAGGACTTCACTGTACTGAGGAGGTGATTCAGCTGTTTAATTGAAGCATGTTGAACCAGGGAGACATCTAAGACTTGCAGAACACCGGCCCTCGAGGACCTGGATTGCCCACCCCTGCTTTAGGTTTTAGGTTGACAGTAAACCTAAAACCAGAACAACAGATATCACAAGAAAAAGAGTTAGACAGTTTAAATTAGCAATGAATTTCCACTTAAAGTGGGTGCATAAAGCAGAAATAACTACACATTTCACACATGGCAGAGCAGCCCTCCCACAACAAGCAAAGGAAACACAGATTCACATTGTAACTCCTTAAATAGAAAACAGTCATCTGCGTACGCAGCCAGCCAGTTAAGGCAGGACAAGTTGCACAGAGTGAAACGGAAACACAGAGAGGGAGTTTTCAAAACACCACTCATGGCACTCATGGCATTTAAAGCTCACGTTTCTCCAAAGTAACAGACACAGTAAAAGTGTTGAAAAGAGCATAAACATCATCGTCAAAACAAGAAATTCAACCTGAATCAACTGAGCAACTCCAGTCTTCACATTCATTTTGCCACTTGAACCGTAACCTTTACATCATGGTAAAAAACCTTTGTCAGCAGGCTGAGTTAAATTCATTTTATGATGTTATTTAAAAAGAGAACGTGGAACATTTCAGGGACTCGGCAGGAGCAGCGGCCAGCTCCGCATGATGAGCTTGATTAGTCGGAAAATTGGCGGCGTTTTGATGCAATGGAAGCTGCAGTTGTTTAGTTGTTTGTCCGCTTTAAGCGTTACTCTGACATTAACATGGAAAGTTGTTGTGGTTTGGTTGCAGTGGGGGGTTCACAATAAACTGCATCAGAAACATTTACATCATTTAACCTTAGCTCAGCTTCAGTGCTGCCTCACTGACAAAGACGCGTCTACATCGTGACTTAATCTCGTTTACAAAATGGAAATCTGATCAAACTACAACTTTCTGAGGTATACAACTAAATTTGATTAATATCTGAGGCTTATACATGTAAATTTGATCAATTACACAAAAACATTTGGTGGAACATTTTGGTTGGTCTTTGGGTTTGATTTGTTTCCCATCAAACTTAAACTGACACAAAATGTTTCTGAAATGAGATGAGAAACATACAGATTATATACAATCTATTTGGGATAAAACAAGGTTTTACCTCTGTATGTAGCAAAAGAAATAAAATGCCACAACAGCAGACCAACAAAATGAAACAGAGTTCAAAACTTTTCTGCTTGTTTTAATTCAGGATTTACTGTATTCATGTAATCATTCATGTGTTTATTACATGAATGATTCCTAATTATCAGGTGAATAAAATAAAACTAAAAAATGAAACACATGAAAAACTGGAGGATCACAAATTTATTACCATTGCAATGTATATCACAAAGAGCTGCACGGATTATAAAAATAGTTTCCTAATTATTTAAGCTCAACACTGTGGTAGATTTGGTGACAAATAAATTAAATACATTTCTAAGGTAAAAAAGTGAATAAGAGGAGCTGAAAAGAAGCTGAAACAGGATCTTTTTACTCCAACATCTGCCTAACAGAAAACCAGACAGAGATTTAAAGATGAGCGGCAAAAGCAAATTATGTGGTTTAGCAGAGCTTTCCAACAACTGATAAAAATGGTTTTATATAAAAATTACAATTCTCATTTACTACTATTGCTGTCATGATAGCAAATTTTGCTGGGTGATAAATTGTTCCAGAAGTTATTATGATAAACAATAACACTGTAATTTTCAGACCATTTCCAAGTAGTATAATGATAATAATGCAAGAACAATTTATCAAAGATCAATAAACCTTCAATTCTAATGAATATTTAACACTGGAACTGGAAGACATTTTATTGATATATATCCAAAATAAACAAAACAACAGAAACAATAAATTAAATTAATCATGAAGCCTCTGTAAACAAAATGGACAGGCCGGTTTACTATGATTCAAAATCAATATAAAATGTTTCAAGATCGATTTAAAAAAAAATTAAACAAATTCAGTCTGTTGACCCCCATTTTATAGCTATGAGGAAACTCCTGGCGTCGCCATGGAGGCGGTACAGCAACGTAGCCATGTGCAGAAAGCAACAAAACAAAGAAATGAAGACAGAGAGATTAAACCGGTTGAAGGAAAACATTTGCACTCATTTTGGTTTTTATCAAATGAACAGAATGAAGCTACAGCATAGCTACGGCAAAGCTACGGCAAAGCTACAGCTACGGCGTAGCTACAGCTACGGCGTAGCTACGGTGAAGCTACAGCGAAGCTACGACGTAGGTACAGCGAAGCTACAGCGAAGCTAAGGCGAAGTTACGGCTTAGCTACGGCGAAGCTACGGCGAAGCTACAGCGAAGCTACGGCGAAGCTACAGCTACGGCGTAGCTACGGTGAAGCTACAGCGAAGCTACGGCAAAGCTAAGGCGAAGTTACGGCGAAGCTACAGCATAGCTACGGTGAAGCTACAGCGTAGCTATAGTGAAGCTATAGCATAGCTACAGCGAAGCTACAGCGTAGCTACAGTGAAGCTACAGCATAGCTACAGCGTAGCTACAGTGAAGCTACAGCGTAGCTACGGCGAAGCTACAGAGTAGCTACAGCGAAGCTGTGCAAAGAGTTGTGTGATTGGTCAGGCGTTTGTGGTTTTAATCAAAAATGCGCTGGGAGAGCAATGTGGTTATTTTACTTCCACTAGTCCACTTCCTCTATCTGGTTTAGGGATCCTTTGTCCACCATGGTGAGGAATTCTGCACATTTTTTACAATTCTTCATTAAATAACTACAAAGACAAATGGCTAAAAACTCCTGGAAATCATTAATGATAATAGTTTTAAATCAAAAGTTGATTTGGAATCGAATTGAATCATCCCTGTCATCCAGGACATGTTTCTGTGGAAAATCGTCTCCGTTTGGCTATCCAGCTGTTGGCATGTCATGACTGCAACATTTTTCAGTCAGAGGCTTCCCGAGTTTTGCTGCAACACTGACTGGTACTTTAGCTCCTTCCTGTTCACAGCATCATCATCCATAACAACGCTAAATAAATTATCT